GACGCTTAAAAGATTTGTCACAAAATGTTGAGCCTTTCTTTTAAATGCTTTGGAATCCTACAAACACAACCAATGTTTGTATTCGACTAACAAGCTGCCATGAATACAAAGGAGGTAGATCATGGCAAACAACCGCGATGAGTCCGCTGCGCTTACGTTAAAAAGACTGTAATTAGGTTTCTTCTTATCCTGCAACACCAAAATATCAAACCTGGTGTGGTTACCAAAAGTCCGTGCGGCTTTTGTTCATTAGCTGTGGGTCTAATTTGACCGTGTCAAAACAAATGAAGCACAAACAACAATTATTTTTCCCACCACTGTTCAAACCAGAGACGACAGATTTGATCTACATTTAATTGTAAACAAGTCTGGGTTGTGATGCGCGGCTCTCTGCGGCCTCTCCTCCCGCCGCCGCCGCCGCCGCCGCTGCATTAGTCTGAGCCTGTCTCTGCTCAGCCGGTGTGTTTGTGTGATAGTGCCTCCCTCTCCCCAGTGTGTGCGTAGCTAATAGCGCTATCTCCCCTGTAATTGCAGCGGGTCAGACCCAAAGACAGCAGAAGCCTAGTGTCCCCCCTCTCCTCTCCATCACCTTCCAGATTACAGGTAGGTGTTTTTAGTCACGCTGATAACGAAGCCTGAGCCTCTCCCCCGATTGATGCCTCCCACATCGTTCCCTCTCCTTCCTCTCCCCTGGCTTCCTACTCTCCTCTTCTATCCACCTCTGCTCCTCCTCTCACATTGTACCATCTACTTTTTTAACCTCTATCCTTGTTCCCTCTCTGTCTCCTGTCCTCCTCTATCCTCATTTCTTTCCTCTTATTGCCTCTTCTCCTCTCTAAACCCCTTCCTAAGTTCCCTTATCTCCTCCATTATACTTCTCACCTTCTGTCCTCTGTTCCTTCTCCTGGTCCTCTATCATTCTGTCTTCTCGTCTCCCTTCTTCTTTCCTCTGCTCATCGTTTCTCTTCTCCTTTCTCCTTCTCAGTCTTTGTCTCCGCTCTTATTCTCCATCCATTCCTCCTTCTCTCTACTGCTTCCTCTTCTTATTCCTCCTCGTTTCACACTTCCTCTCTCTTTTCTTTATTTTGTTTTCTATCATCTGTCCTCATCTCCCTTGTCCTCTTCTCCTGTCTTCTCCTATCCTACCCTCTTCTTGTTTCCGGTTTCTTTCCTTTTTCCCCCTCCATCCTCTTGCCTCTCCTTCCATCTCTCCTTCTTTCCTTTTCGTCCTCTACTCTTGTTTCCTCTTCACGTTTCCTTCTCAGTCTCTTCTTCTGTCTTTTGCTTCCTCCACTGTCTTATCCTCTACCTACCTTCTTCCTGTCTTTATTTCCTTTATTTTCTCCTCTCCTCCATCCTTTTTGCTTCCCTCCTTTCTTCTCTTGTCCTTGTTTCATACCTTCTCTCCTCTTCCTTTCCTCCTTCCTGCTTTCCTTTCCCCTTTTCGCTCTTTTCAACATGTTTCACAAAGAAAGTAAATCTCAAAGAAATAATTTGAATATTGACTTTAACATTACTTTAAAGGCTTTCCGTGCTGCTGTGATGCTTCACTTTCTCGTTAAGTGTGCACAACATGCACATTTCAACCAGCCCGGGCTGGTGCTTTTTACCCAGAGTGCTCCGTGTCGAGCCAAATCCAACAAAAGGACGAAGAGCATTACAACAAAGTTCTGCATAACAAGAGCCGGGCAGAAGAGTTAAAGCTTAGACTGGAAGAGAAACTTTGCTACCCCTCAAACAGAATATGGATAGTGAGACGCCAGCCGTCCTCCACCGCCGCAGACAGTAAGCCACGCTCGCATGGGGGATTTTTTTTGTCAGTTCTGCACAATAGGAACTCATTGGAGAGTGCACTGTAAAATGGACTAACGCAGAAGCAGAAGCAGGGTATGGAGATTTTTTTTTTCTTTTTATATCATACAGACACCGATACTCTGTCGGTCCTCAATTTTGTATTCACAAATGGATTGATGTTAAAAGATTGAAGTCAGTGTAGTTCCCCCCCAATAAGACGTGGATTAACAGTGGCTCAGCAAACTCAGTGTTTGACTTGCCGTGTATTTGTAGGAGGAATTAGCCATTTTGCATTTCAAAAGCCCCTCTTGCCTTCCCCTGTACAGTTCTGAGGGAATTATGACTTGGCTCTCCAGACTATGTGAGACTTTAAGCGCTTAGACGTCTTGTAGGAACAGTCGGAATACAAGAAATGAAGTGCTTCAGGTTGAACACGTGAAGAGATTTTTTTCTTTTTCATTTTTTTTGTGGGAATCTCTCAATATATCTCTGAGAAAAACACCCGAAAGTGGAGATCAATCCATCCTCACACTTAGAACATGTGTGTTTATTTCAGTTTTAACAACCGGTAGCTTTCCTTACAGGTATGAACACCGTCCTATCCCTGATATCACAACACATGGGACCAGATCAGTGTTTTTGCTCGTCTCCAGCAGCTTCACGTTTAAGGCTAACAGGTGTCGATGGAGAACTGCAGAGTCATGCGTTGATTACAGACTCAGGAGTGAATCTGCTGATTTGAGAGAAACTTATTTAATAGTCTGTTATATTATTTTGTAAACGAGGACTTAACACATCAGTGTAGAGTTTAGCTTTCATGCTAGTTGCTCTTTTAAAATACAGCTTGTAAAATTACTACAGCTTCCCTTAAGCCTTTACATATCAACCGCTAATTCCTATTTCCCTGTTTTGTAGCTGTAGTTATTTATAAGACAATAAATAGCTTGAGCAGTTTTGGATGGACCTTGCAGAATGAAATCTGATATGCAGTCCTGGTTCTGCAGGGCTCCTCTGCAGGAGTGCAGCAGTGAAGGGAAAGAGATTTAGAAATGTCAGTCAGACTGTGGGGCTGCAGGCAGAGAGCTGAACCTGTCTGCTCAGTGAGCAGGGCTCGTATCACAAAGACGACCTAGAAGCGTGGAGCTGCTGTACTGTACCACTGGCCCGGTTCTTCATAGGTGCATGAAGTAAGAATCTGTCAGTATGGAAGGTACGCTTGTTTGCTTTCTTGGTCAGAGTTCAAGAATAAAGGTTAAAAATATGAAGCTAGAGACAGTATCTGATTGGTTTAGGTGAGCACAACGCTGGCCTGTCTCAACTCATTACCTCCAAATTAATGTCTTATATCTCATGTATCGAGATAGCTTGTCATTTTTTTTTAAGGCAGGCTGTTTCCTCTTGTCTTTAGTCGTGCTAAGCTAAGTACATGGTAGCTTCAGTGGCCTCACTATTGGTATTCTGAAGTCCCTCTCCAGTAATTGATCAAACCCATAAATAATGATTGTTTCTTTCCCATGAACAGAAGCCCCTTCGTGCCTTCACACGGCTGAGCTGTAGCTCTGCCCTGTTGCCTCCTTTAGAATATGCAGATGTACGACGTCCCCGCCTGCTTGATGCTACACAGCAGCTGTGTTTTTATATATGTGTCAAGCAAATTTCAGGCAAGCTTTTGAAGTGTTGCAAAAAAAAAAAAAATGCCAATTAGGCTTGTTTCTATTAACTGCTTTGGAGTGAAGGAGCTCGGCTGCGTCGTGTTATTGTGCTATAGGCTATGATACACATTAACCGGGTATAAGAGGCTGGGGGGAGGAAATGTTGTTTGCCAGCTGCTAGAAAAACCTTGAAGAAGAACAAGAAACTAGATTTTGTTCCTCTGTGAGAGAAAAATGAATGGAGAGAAGTCTTTTGGAATAGTTTTTAACACAAAAGTTGTGATTTTTCTTTCACGTTAGCTGGTGTCAGACATTTTTCTCTTTACAAACCACCAAGTGTAAAAGCCTTTTTGCTTTTTTTTTTTTTTTTCAAATTTTCACATTTTCATTCACTTTTTTTTTTTAATGCAATGCTTTAAAAAAACATCACAGAAAAATACATTCCAGAAACTTGGCCAGCGTGTAAGTTGTGATATTGGAGTAATTTGGCCATTTAGATCAGAACCGGAAGTCAATTCCAAAGAATAATAATCGTACAGGAAGTTGATTCCAAAGAATAATAATCATACAGGAAGCCCCGTCATACAAGTTGAAAAGATTGGTTCTTTAAGTTTGTAATGAACGAACCCCTGGCTGTCTGAAAATTTCAACGTAAAAATGCTGTTTGCTGCTTATTCTGCTGATGAACCGCCGCATGGAAATGCTAAAAAGTTTTAAAAATTTTCTTTCACCCCAGGCAAATCAAAAATCAGAAGTTCCCTTCCTCACTCTCTGTCTATACATTTCCTATCAATCAATATCGAATGACGGCTCAAAAGGAGGAAACCCTGGAGGCTACAGTAGCACCACTTTGAAATGTGGCTGGCACCAACGTCGACGCAAAAATGTGTATTCATGAATGCATAAACTCTGGAACCCCACGCATCAAATTTATTTATCATGGCGCAGTCGAGCCGACGTGTGAAGGTGTATTCAACACAGTTGTCACGGAGCCGTGCCTTGCATGGTGATGATAGCATCTCCTCTTTTCATTGCGAAGTTCCGCAGTGGGAGTTCAGACAGGCATGCACTTACCAGCGGCATCATGTGAAGGGCTTTCTAAATCCAACATGGCACGACGAGGGAAAGTGGATGCCAAATTACACCTCATGGAATAAACATGAGCCAAGACATTGTCACTGTTCTCTCACACCTTTGGTGTTGTATTGTTGCATCCTCTCTCCGTGTCCCCGTTGAGAGTCGGTGGGCAGGGCTCCACTCGGCTTTATGCTGCTAGCAAGGCGCTGCGCGAGATAATCATTGCTAATTTATCATTCTGACATGCTAACAGGGAGGCGATAAACAAAACAAAGGGATAATAGTGTCTACTTCACAGGCATGGCTTTTTTTTTTCTTTCCTTGTAGTTCTCATCTGCTCTCTGTAGGGATTTTAACGCCAGAAATAAAAGTAAATAAGCATTTCTGTGCTGCTTGTTCCCACTGATTGTTCTGCTGGTAAAACAGGTTCGTTTTATGTGCTGCTCATGTCCTGTTCCACTCTGCTCGTTTGCACAGCGTCCCGTCCCGTGGAAAACAAGCTGTGTGAGGGTCCGATCCCCAACAGGTCCCAGCTGTGCCAAATCCCCTGCCCCATCGACTGCGAGGTGTCACCGTGGGGCGCCTGGGGGCCGTGCACCTTTGAGAACTGTGACGATCAAGCTGCAAAGAAAGGTACGAGCGCGGTGCATCGCATGAAGGAGCGAGGGTGTCGCTTCCAAGGCATCAGAGTGATCATCAGAGCTGGCGTGTTACATTAGTTTAAGACAATGACAGACACTATCTCAGAGCAGCTGTACTGTTTAATGTTGTTCTGAACGCTCCCCCTCCCCGTTTTGGTTTTTGCCATTATAATAGAGGATAAACATGCTGAAAGTAATTTGTCAGTCATCTGTCAGCCCCTCGTCCTCCTGGCAATGAGATAAATTCTGACAGTTTAATTTTTTTTGTGCCGAAACAAAAACAACCTCTTACTTAATTCCCTCTCGCTGTTTCCAGTAATTATAATTTAACGTGGCAACAATAGAAAAGTGTTTGTTTTTCCAGCCTATTAAATGCTCCATCAAAGTATATTTAACACTGTTATTGAGTTTAAATACATTCAGGAACATGAAATCTCAGTACATTTTATGATTATGATTATGATTATGATTATTATTATTATTATTATTATTATTATTATTATTATTATTGTTGTTGTTATTATAGCTGTGACCTTATAACCACACAGCTGCGGAGAACAACACTGAATAGTTAATAAGTGACTGGTTGTAGTGGTATCAGGTCATCTGGTTAAAAATACATAAGACACATATCCTTGCTGGGTGCAGCGCTGCAGCCATCGTTCCAGTATAAAATGTGCCTTTGCTCTATTAATATTTGATCATTTTCAGTGTTTTCATACTTTGGGTAAAGTGTTTTTGCAAAATTAG